AGCAACAGTTGATTCTGAGTTGTCCAGAGGAACTTTGCTGCTGAATGCTACAAAGTTAGTGACTTGATCGTTGTTTCCTTGGTCATCATCAGATTCTTCTTCATCGCTCCAAACAGTAGTAAGTGACATTTTCTTCTTTTTCTTCAGGGTGTTTGCGCATTCTGATTGAATGTGACCAAAGCCTTCGCATTCTCGACATTGTATTCTTCTTGGTTTTGACTCCTCTGAGTTATCTTGATTTGAATTTCTCCTCGAATTTTGAAAGTTCACGGTTTTCCCTGTGCTTGGAAGATTTCCCCTTTTACCGATCTTTTTGAGAAATTTCCCAAAATTTTTCGATAGTATTGCCAAGGATTCCTCTACCGTCTCCTCATCTTCTTGAGTTGACGAATTTTGGGGTGTTGCATATGAAGTTTCTGCTTGAAAGGCTATCTTCTTTTCTCTAGGCTTTTCACGATGATTTTCACCATGATTGAGTTCTTGTGCCAGAAGTTTCCCCATGAGTTCGTCTAGTTTGAGCGTGTCAACATCTCTGACTTCTTCAATGGCAGCAATTCGGTAAGCAAATCTTTCAGGTAATGAGCGCATCGCCTTTCTCACCAATTTGCTTTCAGAGTAAGGTTCACCGAGTGCATATGATTCATTGGAGATATCACATAATTTAGCATGGAAGTCAGTGATCGTCTCATTCTCTTCCATCTTCAAATTTTCGAACTTGGTGGCCAGCATTTGTAACTTCGACGTCCTCACAGTTGACGTTCCTTCGTATGTGACTTGAAGGATTTCCCAAGCTCTTTTAGCAGATTCACATGACGCTATTAGTTTAAATTGATTATCATCAACACCACTAAATATTGCGTTTAGGGCCCTTGAGTTGTAGTTTGCGAGTAGTATCTCTACGTCACTCCAATCTGCTTCTGGTTTGAAAACTTCCATTTTGTCTTCTCCTTTGACCATGGGAGGTGTCCAACCAGTTATGATGGCGCGCCATGCTCTCTCATCTATGGATTTGATAAACATCTTCATTTTTTATTTCCAATATGAGTAGTTTGATCCGATTAGGAGAGGTGGGCGAGTAGTTGACGATCCTTCTCGTTGAGTATTCATATCTGCACAAAATAAGAATAGTTAGTTCCCAAAATCTCACTAGATGTATTTAGTGACAGGCTCTTGATGCCAAATTGTTAGAATTATTTCGTGCAAATTAATTATAAATTTGTGTCCGATAAATCCCAGATTCAGTTTTAGCTACTGTTCTACTGTTTTACGAAGAGTTGCAACAGTTAATGGAACAGTAATAAAAAGACACAAATTTTAAAGTGGTTCGGATACAATTGTACCCTACATCCACGGGGACCTGCAAATGAAATTCACTAATTTTTAGTTTTACGAATACAGTAATAGGACTTAATCGAAAATGCAAAGACTCCCTCTTTGTCGACGCCGTTCTTGTATCCTACGCTGAATTGTCAATCTTCACTTTGCAGCACGTCCCTTTCCGCACGGTTGAAATTTCTTCAACGCTGAGTCCCTCAGACGGCGGATCGACCTCCTCCCGAGATCTTCTGAGTTCTTCTCCTGAAGAACCGATCTTCTTTTCGCGTGAAAGAAGCAAATCGTTTGCTGTGTTTTTCTTCTCGAATAAGATCACAACTCAGGTGCAGCAACGCAAGAGCAGAAAAAGTTTTTCTCTCAAATAAAAGGGACGGTCTTCAATTACGTTGATGCTGCCCTTCTTATACTTCCTTAGGTGAATTAGTAGAGCCCTACACAAAAGTGGAGCCCATTAGGTTATTTTATCTCACGTAAGAAAAAAAGAGTTGTATAACAAAGGAAATTCTTTTCCAAATAAAATTCCTTGTTAAACAAAACACTTAGGCAATTAAATAAATTAATGACAAAATAAGAGTTTAAAGAACTAAGGAAACTTCCCTAGTTTTTATACACGGTTTTCACACACGTGTTGAAAACCCGAAATTAGAATCCTCTCGGATTCTAACAGAGAGTTTGAGACACAAAGTAACATTCGTTGTACTCGAGATTTTGAGTGCTCATATTCCGAGTTTAGCCGTTGTATCTTAGGAGACCATTGCCAAATAACCGTAAGCACCGTAGCGGGGCAATATTGTCTTAAGGAAAGAGTTTTCTCGCCTCGGCTAATCTTTTCGTATATTCACTAATTAATTTGTTCGACCATTTTACTAAATTCACTACCCCTTTTATGTACCGGAACAACATATATTACCATTAAATTAGCTGTGCATATACAGTTGATCATTTCTTAACACACATATAGATTTTCTAGGCTGTAACCGCTTGCACACGTAACATAATTATATAATATTTGTAAAATAAAAAAATTAAAAAAAAAATGCAATGTTGCGGATGCCGTGTTACATTTTTAGCTGAAATTTCTATTTCAATTGCGGGTAAAAGTACCCACCCGAAAGTCAAAAAGGGAATAGGTTTAAGAGTCAAAAAAAAAAAAGTTCTAAGACCTATTCTGCACACATATCTAAAATAATTGAACAAAGCATAATTGTATTGAAAGAATCAACATTAATGGAGGAAATTTGTAATTACATTTTTATATTCAATTCATACAGCCATTATTATTTATTACATACACAAATCTATAAGAATATGACAGACTCATCCTCCGGGATTGAAAGTTGAGATCCCCTTTTTGTGGGATTTATTTACACTAATTGGGATTAATTAATTTACACTGAATTACGAATAATAATAATTAATGGGTAAATTACAACCACACCTCTGAGGCATCAAATTATGAAAAAACTCTTTATATTTGAATAATTATAATTACCCCTCAACTATGAATTTTTTTACACGTCCACCCTTATGGTTACAAATTCAACATAATCTTCTAGATTTCGTGAAATGTTCTCTAGTTTGTATTCGTTTTGTGCTAAAATCCAGTTTCTGATTCACCACAATCTGATACATACAAGCCAAAAAACACATATTATGATCATCTTGCTTCAAAATTTGGAGCTCAAATGGGATAAAACGGGTACAAAATTGAGAATATTCCATATAACCTAGAAGATTCCGCTAAATTTGACACAGTGACAGTGGACGTGTAAGAAGATTTATAGTTGATGGGTGGTTATAATTACCCAAATAAGAATGATTTTTTTGTAATTTGACCATACCTCAAGCGAATTGTTTTAATTTACCCAATAATTAATTGATGCAATATATTTTCCAATAACGTAATCTCAGTTAGCTCAAACTATATTTGTGAATGAATAAGCTGGATCATAAAGATTGACTAACAAAAGGTTGGGTCAGCTACAGAGTCCAACACTCATGTATTGTTGTTGATTTTTCGCGTACACAAGTGCATGTATCGTTAACAAGCAATTAAATGGATTTGTGCGAGTTGGAATATTGTACTCACATGGAGCAAATTATTTTCCTACTTCTAAGTACCTAAATTGTGTGATTTTTATCCAGACAATAAAATTGGGTTATGATTTACTATTCAAACGACAGCTCACTACGTCTCGATCTAGTGCGGAGGCTGAATATCGAGCCGTCGCAAACGCCGTCCCCGAAACGACTTGGTGACGCAACCTACTTTCTGAGTCGCTCTGCCCACTTTCGAAAGCCACCATTGTCTACCGTGACAACGTCAGTGCTGTTTACCTATCCAGCAATCCTATTCAACACTCTCGTACGAAATATGTGGAGATTGATATCCTTTTTGTCCGAGACAAAGTTGCTTTGGGAAACGTTCGAGTTCTTCACGTCCCATGCGCCTACCATTTTGCCGATATATTCACGAAAGGACTCCCTACTCAATTGTTTCCACAGTTTGTCTTTAGTCTCCACGTTCTCTTATTTCCCGTTTCGACTGCGGGGATGTATTAGCGTATATTTATTATTATTATTATCATTATTTATTATAGTATATATCTCTTAGTTACCTTGTGTAATAGGTTAGGGTTTACTACATGTAACTATATATATGATTAATATATGTGAGAGACATAATACTCTCTTTCCCCAACTCTATTTCTCCTATACACAATTCTAAATAATAATTCGTCAATCACTTTAATAAAACAAAATCACGAAATTTATCAGATTCATGAATAAGTTATGCTCAAGGTGAAGAAATAAATAACTCATAAAACTTGCATAATAGATAAATTTTCTCACATAGAATTCTAATGAAATCCTAGATTACAAGTTTAGCTACTCATGTTGTTCAAAGATAAACAATTTAAAATAGTAAAATTCACGAGTTCAAAAAAGAAAGATAAAAGAGAAACTATGATGAAGATTCATCAAGTCTTCGTCGTCGTTTCTCGTCTTCTTTCTCCAAGTTCTCTCTGATTTTTCACCCCCAAAAGTACCCTTAACTTGCCTTGAAAACCTTCTTTTTATGCCAAAACTTTTTCCCAAGTTTTCAAGTTTTTAGCAAAATTTCCGCACAAACAACTTCTCTGACCGCGGTATGAGAAATTGAACTTAAATTGAGACCACAGTCCGAGGGTCCAAACTTTTTTGTAACTTAACTTCTCGAACCGCAGTCTAAGAAATTGTGCTATAAAACGAGACAGCGGTCCGAGGCAACAGAACGTCAAGATTCTTTTCTTCTCTTCCGGACTGGGGTCTGAGATTCCTTCACGATCTTGAGACAGGGTCTCATAAGGCAGCACGGACATTTTTTGTCCGATTCTCTCGGATTTTAGCGTCGTTTCATCTCCTCGTCTTCTATAATCCGGATTCTTCTATTTTTCCTACATAATCAATTTGAACAACATATGAACGCACTTGTCGTATCAAATCACACAAAAGTTCAAACCGAAAGTAGATGTAATTAAGTGCGATTTTCACACTCAGTATATATATATATATATATATATATATATATATATATATATATGGCAAAACTATAACCGTCTAATTGAGTCAAATATACATTAAGAAACACGGCTTAAACACCATATTTGTCAACGCGCGCAAATAAAGTCGAATAGTAAATGATTTTGTCAGGTCAAATATGGATCCTACTACACACCAAAACAAATTAAATAATAATAAATAAATAAAACTAGGACCCCTACTCATAGTTAGTGGGAGCTGTAATAAATACAAAAATATCAGAGATATGCAATAATACAACAAGATCATGCTACTCTGTTTCTCCAACAATCCCAACAGAACATATACATATATATACATATAGTGCTTGATCCTGAAATAGTAGTGAAATAAATAAATGGAGGGCCGAGGACGAAACGACGACGTAGTTGATGGAAGAATCCATTCTGTTGAAGTTCCAATTCAGATTCAGAATCACTTTTCTGTTGAAATTCCAGACACTGCTCATCAGATTAGCCATGGTTTCTTATTTTCTTCTTTGTTTCGTGTGCATCAAGTTTTCTTATATATTTATTTTAATTTAATATAGGTGTATATATATATGTTATGAAAATGTAGATTCATGGTTTCAAGCTGGATTTGTACTGACAAGTGGGATAAACAGTGCGTATGTGTTGGGATACTCTGCTGCTGTTATGGTTCCTTTGGGTTGGATTGGTGGTGTTGTTGGCCTTATTTTAGCTTCAATTGTTTCCTTTTATGCTAACTCTCTTATCGCCAAACTTCACGAATTCGGCGGAAAACGCCATATTCGATACCGAGACCTCGCTGGATTTATTTACGGTATGTAATTCAGATCCCGAATAAACGAATCATAATAATAATTCCGATATAAATATATATTTTTTTAATTAAATCTTTGTTTTATATTAAGGGTCTGTTTGGCTAAGCTTATTTTAAACAACTGATAAACTCTATCGTCTGATAAGATGTTTTAAGAGCTAATCGTGATAAGTTGTTACATCTTATTATTAGAATTAATTTTTTAAATGTTTGGATAATGAGTTTATTTGCTATTTTTATTCTTTATAAGATCTTAAATAAAGTAGAGGTACGTACTTATTAAAAAAAAAATTATTTGCCCTCCAAGAGCTTATTTATAAAAAAATAAGATTTTTTTAAAAAAAATTACCAAACATTTTGGAATAGCTTATAAGCTCTTTTTAACATCTTATAAGCTCTTTTGGTGACACAGGTAAGAAAGCTTATTCTCTTACATGGGGACTCCAATATGTGAACCTGTTTATGATCAATGTCGGGTTTGTCATTTTAGCCGGTTCTGCTTTTAAGGTAATTCATTCATTTGATTCATTTTTAATTTTAGCTGATTGATTTCATCGACATTTAATTTATTTATACATACGCGCAGGCGGTGTATGTTCTTTTCAGACAAGACAATGCGATGAAGCTTCCATACTTTATTGTTATAGCCGGGTTCGCATGTGGTCTCTTTGCAATTGCGGTACCTCATTTGTCTGCACTTCGTGTTTGGCTCGGATTTTCGACTGTTTTTAGTCTCATTTACATTGTCGTGGCATTTTCTCTAGCCCTTAAAGATGGTATGTATGTCGATTCATCGTTTAATTTCTTTTCTAATAAACATTAATTGTACGTATTCCTAAGTAGTAGTTATTAATAATGCATTTTAATTCATAGGAATTGAGGCTCCCCCGAGAGATTACAGCATTCCAGGAACAAAAGTAAGCAGGATTTTTACAACTATTGGTGCTGCAGCAAGTCTCGTTTTCGCCTTCAATACCGGGATGCTCCCGGAAATACAGGTTTGTCGAAATATGTGAATCACTAATTAATTACGGCATATTGTTCTAATACCGAATGGTAATAAACGAAACTCGTTTTTGATCTTGATAATGGCAGGCGACAGTGAGACCACCGGTTGTAGAGAACATGATGAAAGGTTTGTATTTTCAGTTCACAGTCGGAGGTTTGCCTTTGTTTGCCGTTACTTTCATCGGATATTGGGCATACGGGTCCGACACGTCAGCATACTTGCTCAACAACGTCAGTGGTCCTGTCTGGCTGAAGACAACCGCTAATATTGCAGCTATCTTGCAGACAATCATTTCTTTGCACGTAAGCAATTATATTAATCGATCGATTTTCTCTCTAATTAATTAATATTAATCGACTAATATATATAATTTAACTTATTCCTCTCCGTCAGATATTTGCGAGCCCAACGTACGAATATTTAGATACAAAATATGGAGTTAAAGGAAGTGCTCTAGCTCCACGCAATTTGTCTTTCAGGATATTAGTGAGAGGCGGTTACATAGCGGTAACGACGCTTGTGGCGGCGATGCTGCCGTTTTTGGGGGATTTTATGAGCTTAACGGGAGCTATAAGTACTTTCCCGTTAACGTTCATTCTGGCGAATCATATGTATCTTGTCGCTAAGAGAAACAAGCTTACTTCACTGCAAAAGAAGTGGCACTGGCTTAATGTATTGTTCTTCAGTTGTCTATCACTTGCAGCTGCAGTTGCTGCTGTGAGACTCATTGTTATGCATTCTAGTACTTACAATGTTTTCGCCGATGTTTAATTTATTTATTTTTTCGGTTAGGTGTTTGTGATTTTTCAATTGTATTATGAAAGTGAATGTTTGGTTCCCATTTTCAATAAATAAATAAAAAGTATTTGAAAGTTGGAAAGTCCGGTTGGAGCATAATCTGGAATAGACCATGAATCCCTTAAACGAATCGAAACTGTTTCGGTGGGCACTCTGGATTATACATTGACCAACAGAGATTGCATTCTTCCTCAACATCGAGAGAAATCTCGATTTGGATCGAATGCTGGATCACAAATTATAGAAACAAGATAGACAGAATACTACATTTTATTCGCGAGGGCAAAATGGAATTGGTTCTAGTTATCTGAAGAAAATATGGCAAGAGTGTAGCCATTCATTCATTCTTCCGTGTGTGTGTGTGTGTCTGTGTGTGTGTGTGTGTGTGAGAGAGAGAGAGAGAGAGAGAGAGAGAGAGAGAGAGAGAGAGAGAGAGAGAGAGAGAGAGAGAGAGAGAGAGGGGGGGGGGGGATTTATCGCAAAGCAGATGATAAAATATTCATTTGAGAAATACCACAAGCATATCTTAAACAAATCGAGGGAAAAGACGAAGTTTAAGCAAGTGTAAAACTCAGTTAAAAACGGAATCCATTCATCCCCCTCCATTCAGTCTCGCATCAATCAAAACACGAATATCCAATATAAAAACCCTTACAAGTTACAACACAACAGAATTAGCTTAATGCACACAAATATCCAACATATAAAACCTACAACTCACCGTTCCAAACAAGCCCTCCAACAAAAGGCGGCATTAGCATTAACCAGACACCATTTTGACAACAATGCAGAGCAAATTGAGAAGTATAAGAGGAACTCTCAAGTACTGGGTAGCGTATATAAGGCCGAGAATCTGTCCTTTAAACGAGTGTCTCTTAACCCCACCGGAATATTCTTGGAAACTCCATCCTCTCGGTGCAAGGAATCGGTCTTCGTTTAGAATAGCCAGTGCATTTGCAAGAAGCAGGAATCCCTCTAGCAGTGTCCACAGCCCCATTTACCTTACCTGCATTATATTAATTTAATTAATACACCACTTTAATTACGGATTCTCTTCTAACACGAAATACACTTTCATGCTGTCCACCCTCAATTCATAATTTTCTCCGTATATTATACCTATATATCTATTTAGCTCACCCAATTTTTATTAATTAGCCCACCCAAAATCCAAATTAATGCAAAAAAAAAAAGCTCGAAATTTTGTTTTTTTTTCTTTTGTTCTTTTCCTATTTTCTGATTTGATCACAAAAAAATTCTAAAAAAAATTCGGGGGCGCAAACACGAAACCCGAAAACTAAAGCCCACCCTCTAACAAGGCTACTACTATACAAAGTTTTTGATATATGCCAAGGAGAATCTAGAGATACCGTTCCCGTTTATCTGACAACTTGACATACAGTTAGGATGTAAATGCGTATCTATTATGCGGAAAAAGGCAGTTACTTAAGAATTTGTATGCAGTACTTTAATCCGAAAACCATACAGTTCCACTAAGATTGACAAAAGTGTTGATTTGGGTCAATCGAGATTTGGATTTTCGGTTTCGGGTTCGGTTCCGAATTTTACGAAACGAAGGTGAAACCACGAACTAAACGGGAAACGGAGTAGAATATTTTTTTGAATCATAATTTATACAAGTGTGCATCAATCAATAACTGGAAACTATTAGCCCTAAGTATCCAAGGACTAAACAGCAAATCCCAAAAACAATGCAGAAAATGATTTATTTATTTTAAACACTAAATCTGAGAGTTCATCAAACAGTGGTAAAATCGGAATCAAAAGAACACCAAAAATTATTGAAAAACGAGATGAATCCAAGCTGGGTTTCATCAAACAGAGATAGATAACATAAAATTAAAATATATTTAGGGAAAAAAAAACAATGAGCTAATTCACAAATTATGTGTTTAGTAGAGCGGAAATGCGAGAAAATGTTACCGAGAATAACAGAACAGAGTAGATGTGTTCGCCGGAGAAGAAGGATTTGGGGCTGGTGAAAAGATTACGAAATATTATTGGTTGATCGCTGTAGAATCTTCGATTTGGGGGTTTTGCCACAAGTAATTCAAAAGCATTTATAAATCTTTATTTAGAATGAAAGCATATAATAAATCAAACCAATAAAAAAACAAAACAAATGGGTAAATTACATCTAACCCCTAAGGTAAGGTGTAATTACTAAAACAACCTCTTCTTTTTGCGTAATTATATTCACCCTCTGTACTTTATAATCGTTTTATACGTCCCCCTCTATGATGTCAAATTAAACCGAATCTTTTAGATTATGTGCAATATTTCTTCGCATATCCCCATTTTACCCCTGCAAAAAAACTCTAGGGGGTAAGTAGTAAGGTTTATAAATTTAGAGGGGTTCAATTATAATTCAACCCTAAATTGTGGCAAAATGACGCATCTTTGATATTAGTTGACAATGGGGTTAATTACAAAAATGATCAAATAGTGGCAATACTTTACTCAAATGATGTATTGTTTATGTGGTTTATGGAAATGGTTTTGTAAATCGCATGTGAATTTAGATGTAAAAGTGGACGTTATAGTATCTCGGGAATTGCTATAGAAGAAATTGCCATTATGTAGTGTGATTTATGCATTATGTTGGATTTTGGGCAAAAATTGCCACTCCCATGAATATTTCTTCTCAAACTTTGACGGACGGTTGATCACTGCATAATATAAAAGCCTTTTCATTTTGGATTGCATCACTTTCAACATTCTAAGGTTTGTTTCTCTCCACTCGAAGTTGTTATTATCCGATGTTTATAGTTAAAAAAATATTTTAGTTTGTCAATTTATTACACTCATGTGCTTGTCATATATTATTATACTAATTTTAGAGTGTTAATTTCTACACTTTCAAATGTGGGACAAATTTCAAAAATCGCAAGTATTTTGTTTTGGTTATTTTTAATTATTAATTTTCTTGTATCTTTTCTTCGAAAATAAAAAAATTTATTTTTAAAAGTCAATAGTCAAATGAGTTGAATCTATGTAATAGATACCAATTTTATGGGAGGTATGCGTATTTTTCCAAACTATATGGGATCTAACTATTATTATACCTAATCTCAGTGGGGTTATGTATAGATAACATAAAATTAAAATATATTCAGGAAAACAAAAAAAAAAAACAATGAGCTAATTCACAAATTGTGTGTTTATGAGAGCGGAAATGCGAGAAAATGTTACCGAGAATAATTGTTACGAGCTTAATCCGGAAGATCCAATTATAGTAAGAAGAAGAGAAGACATGCAAAGGAGCAAGAGACGAAGAAGAGGAAGACATGCAGATTATTTAATATTATATTTGCAGAACATATATTACTATGGTTCAGTTAAAAACGCATTTCTGTTATGCGTTTTCAAAGATTATCACGCTTTTATTAGTAGCGGCTCTTATTAAGACACGTGACCGAAGGATAGAGGAAGAGAATGAAGAATTGCTGGCTTAAGAATCGTTATTGCGTTTTTATTCTTAATAGCACTTTCTAGTTATAGATTGAGTATAAGTAGGGAAAGTTTGAGCTGAGGGAGGCAGCTGATTTTTAGGTTAAAGTCTTCTAGGTTAGAGCTGAGTGTTTGGGACTTGATTCTCGAAGCTTTTCTTGTGTTTAAGCTTCCCGATTCAACCTCTGTTATCTGTAATTTCCGTTTATCAATATATATCTATTTGTGTTGCTATCAATTGGTATCCAGAGCCATCGATTCTGTGAAGCACATCATGGCAGATGGTACTCGATTTGCTGAGCTGATGAAGGATATGGATATGATGAGGGAACAAATGCAGGCCATATCTGAAGCCAACGCTAAGAACGTGGAAGAAAACCATGCTATGATGACGTTGATGATGGCCAAACTGCAGCAATAAGCAGCTCCACATGACAATGGTGGCAGACCTCCAGATCTGGGGAATCAGGAAGGTCCTCAGTGGGGTGCAGAGTATCAACTACCTACTAAGTGTTCTTCGGTGGAATTTCCGAAGTTTGATGGCACAAACCTTCGCAGCTGGGTATATAAGTGTGACCAATTCTTCGACGTAGATGGCACACCATCGAGCTCAAAAGTGAAGTTAGCAGCGGTGCACTTGGAAGGGAGAGCTCTTCAGTGGCACCAAACCTTCATGAAGGCTCGTCTCACTCGAGAGATTCCAAGCTGGGAGGAGTATATTAGAGCTTTGAATAGCAGATTTGGTACCCTGCTTTTCGAAGATCCTATGTCTGAGTTAATGAACCTCAGACAAACTGGATCTCTACAAGACTACCTTGATAGATTTGATGAACTAATGAACTGTGTGGACCTCTCAGAACCTTATGCAGTGAGCTATTTTTTGGGGGGATTGAAACCAGAGATCTCCTTACAGATCAAAATGTTTAAACCCAAGAACATGATGGAAGTGGTTAGCCTAGATAAGCTGCAAGAACAGACTATTACCTTATCTCCTAGAAAACACCCTAGCCAACACCTTAACCCTACCCACAACCCTACCCACAACCCTATCAGAGCTTCATACACTGTCAACAGGCCTAACACCCTAAATATTAATAGAAACCCCAACCAAAACTCCAACACTTATACAGCCAATAACTACCCTAGCCCACAATCCAACAGAAATAGCCCAACCTTTCACAGAAACCAGACCCAATCCTTCAACCAAAACAAGAGACTGAGTAATCAAGAAGTTGATGATAGAAGAGCTAAAGGCTTGTGCTTCTGGTGTGATGAGAAGTACTCTAGGGACCACAACTTTCCTAAAAAGAGGCAGATGTATGTGATGGAAATACCTGAGGATGAGACTATGATTGAGAGTGAAGTGGAGTACAACCCTAGTGTAGTAACTGAAGAAAGAATGGAAGAATGAGAGGAACAGTTATCTCAAGTTTCCATGCATGCTATGACTGGCACCCATGACTTCAGAAACATGAGACTTACAGGATCAGCAAAGGGAAAAACCATACACATCTTGATTGACAATGGGAGCACCCACAACTTTGTGGATGAGCAGACTGCAAAATCATTAGGATGTGAATTGGTGGAGATGAAACCATCATCTGTGAATGTACATGGGGGAAACATGCTCATTACAAGGTTCAAGTGTCCAAACTTCACCTGGAAAATGCATGGGGTAGAGTTTTCTGCTGAAGTCATGACACAACCATTAGAGAGCTGTGACTTAGTACTAGGCATTCAATGGCTAGTTACATTGGGGGATATATGCAGTAACTATTTGCAATTGAAGATGGAGTTTAACCACATGGGCAGGAAGATGGTATTGAGGGGTCTCCAACCTAACTCAGTCAAGTTGGTCTCCAACAAAAAATTGAACAAGATTTTGCAGAAACCTTCCCAAATAGCTTATCAATGCATTGGAAGTTTACAAGATGGATCTGCTATGAACATGGAACCAGTGCATCCTAATAATGATCCAGTGGAAGGAGTACTAGAATGCATTGCTAGTCTGAATGCTATGGAGTGTGTAGGAAGGGAAGGCCTGCAAGTGTTGCTAAGTGATTATGCAGACTTATTTGTGGAGCCTAAGGGTCTACCACCTCACAGAGACCATGATCACAAGATACACCTCAAAGAGGGGTCAGAAGCTATCAATGTTAGACCATACAGATATCCAGCTATGCAAAAGAATGAAATTGAGGCTATAGTGCAAGAGTTGCTTAATGCAGGGGTGATTAGAACCAGTAGTAGCCCTTTCTCTTCACCAGTAGTGTTGGTGAAGAAGAAAGACAATTCTTGGAGGATGTGTGTGGATTATAGAGAACTAAACAAAAACACTGTTAATGATAAATTTCCCATTCCTGTAATTGAAGAATTACTAGATGAGCTGCATGGGGCAAGGGTTTTCTCTAAGCTGGACTTGAGATCTGGTTATCACCAAATCAGAATGCATGAGGAAGACATTATGAAAACAGCTTTTAGGACTCACCATGGGCATTATGAATTTCTAGTGATGCCATTTGGTCTGACTAATGCACCCTCCACTTTTCAAAGTCTCATGAACCAGGTGTTCCAAGAGCAACTGAGGAAGTTTGTTTTAGTTTTTTTTTTATGACATTTTAGTCTACAGTAAGAGTTGGAACTCTCATTTAGAACAACTAAGGACAGTTCTAGAGCTTTTAAGACTACATCAACTGTTTATCAAGAAGAATAAATGCTCTTTTGGAAGCTCTTCCATTGAATACTTGGGACATGTAATTACACCAGAAGGTGTAGCAGCTGACCCCAACATTACTCAAGACATGACTGATTGGCCAACTCCCAAAACAATTAAACAATTGAGGGGGTTCCTAGGCTTGACTGGTTACTATAGAAGATTTGTTAAAGATTATGGCAAGATAGCTCATCCTTTAACTCAGTTATTAAGGAAGGACTGTTTTAAGTGGAGTGGGGAGGCACAACAAGCATTTAATGCTCTTAAGAGAGCAATGACACAAACCCCAGTGCTAGCACTCCCTGACTTTTCTAAAGAATTCACCATTGAAACTGATGCATCTGGAACTGGTATGGGAGCAGTGTTAATGCAGCAAGGTAGACCAATTGCCTTCATGAGCAAAGCCCTAAACATGACCCAATGGGATTTGTCTACATATGAGAAGGAACTCCTTGCACTGGTAACGGCTGTCCAGAAATGGAGACCTTATTTGATTGGTAATCACTTCACTATAAAAACAGATCACCAAAGTTTGAAATACTTAATGGATCAAAGAGTGGCCACACCAGCTCAACAAAAGTGGTTGGTGAAGCTGCTAGGGTATGATTTTTCAGTATCATACAAGAAGGGAAAAGATAATGTGGTGGCAAATGGGCTGTCTAGAGTCACTGTTCCAGAACTCAGTTGTTTCACACTCTCAATTCCTCAATGCTCATTTCTGGAAGAGATAAGAAGAGTTTACACTACTGACTTAGAGCTCAAGGGGATCATTGATAATCTGAAGGAAGGCAGAGGCAACAGACCATCTTATTCTTGGAATGCTGAAGTGTTGTTGAGGAAGGGAATATTGGTGGTGGGAAAGGAGATAGAGCTTAGACAAAAAATCTTGAATCACTTCCATGGTGCTGCAGTGGGAGGACACTCTGGAATCCACAGCACCTTACAAAGGATTAAACAAACCTTTTACTGGAAGGGACTCAAGAGGGATGTGCACACTTTTGTGCAACAATGTGATGTGTGCCAGAGGAACAAAGGGGAAACTGTAGCAACACCAGGGTTGCTACAGCCTCTTCCCATCCCTGAAAAGATATGGGAGGACATCTCCATGGATTTTATTGGAGGATTGCCAAATTCTGGGGGAAAGGACACCATTCTAGTGGTGGTAGATAGATTGAGTAAAGTTGCACATTTCATGAGCTTGAAACACCCATACACAGCTAGTTCAGTGGCACAACTTTTCATGGAAAATGTGTACAAATTGCATGGGATGCCTAAGACTATAGTCAGTGATAGAGACCCCATTTTCATGAGTAAATTTTGGCAAGAATTTTTCAAGCTTCAAGGCTCACAACTCCATACCTCAACTGCCTATCATCCTCAGACTGATAGCCAATCTGAGATAGTGAACAAGTGCTTAGAAGGGTACTTAAGATGCATGAGTGGGGAGAGACCTAAAGAATGGGCTCAATGGCTGCCTTTGGCAGAGTGGTGGTATAATACCACATTCCATTCATCCTTGCAGACTACCCCCTACGAAGTGATGTATGGTCAGAAGGCTCCTCTTCATTTACCCTACATTCCTATGGCAGTCTCTAATGAAATGGTAGATAGGAGTTTGCAGCATAGAGAAGCAACCATCAGAGTAATAAGAGAACAGCTGTTGAGGGCACAAAATAGAATGAAAATGCAGGCAGACAGGAGGAGAAGTGAGAGGACTTTTCAAGTGGGGGATTGGGTGTTTGTGAAGTTGCAACCCTATAGACAGCAATATGCTAGGACTCAAACTTACAACAAGCTATCTGCTCGATTTTTTGGACCTTATAAGATACTACAGAGAATTGGAGAGGTGGCTTGGCTTATACACTGGAATTGCCACAGAATTCTAAGATCCATCCAACATTTCATGTCTCTCAACTTAAGAAGAAGATAGGATCTTTAATCAGCCAAAAACACTTACCCACTACAATCACGGCACACGGCCACATATTACTTGAACCACATTCTGTTGTTGATCGCAGGTTAATGCAGAAGGGCAATAGGGCAGTCACTCAATGGCTGATCAAATGGTTCAATGCTCCAGACGAGGATTCAACATGGGAGGACTGCGAGGACATTCAGAGGCGCTTCCCCACTTTCTGTCCTTAAGGACAAGGACATTTTAGAGGGAGGCATTGTTACGAGCTTAATCCGGAAGATCCAATTATAGTAAGAAGAAGAGAAGACATGCAAAGGAGCAAGAGACGAAGAAGAGGAAGACATGCAGATTATTTAATATTATATTTGCAGAACATATATTACTATGGTTCAGTTAAAAACGCATTTCTGTTATGCGTTTTCAAAGATTATCACGCTTTTATTAGTAGCGGCTCTCATTAAGACACGTGGCCGAAGGATAGATGAAGAGAATGGAGAATTGCTGGCTTAAGAATCGTTATTGCGTTTTTATTCTTAATAGCACTTTCTAGTTATAGATTGAGTATAAGTAGGGAAAGTTTGAGCTGAGGGAGGCAGCTGATTTTTAGGTTAAAGTCTTCTAGGTTAGAGCTGAGTGTTTGGGACTTGATTCTCGAAGCTTTTCTTGTGTTAAAACTTCCCGATTCAACCTCTGTTATCTGTAATTTCCGTTTATCAATATATATCTATTTGTGTTGTTATCAATAACAGAACAGAGTAGATGTGTTCGCCGGAGAAGAAGGATAATATCGGTTGATCGCTGTAGAATCTTCGATTTGGGGGTTTTGATTCAAAAGCATTTATAAATCTTTATTCAGAATAAAAGCATATAATAAATCAAACCAATAAAAAACAAAACAAAGGGGTAAATTACAACTAACCCCTAAGGTAAGGTGTAATTACTAAAACAACCTCTTCTTTTTGTGTAATTACATTCACCCCATCTATTTTATAATCGTCTTACACGTCCCCCTCTATGATGTCAAATTATACCGAATCTTTTAGATTATGTGCAATATTTCTTCGCATATCCCCATTTTACCCCTGCAAAAAAACTCTAGGGGGTAAGTAGTAAGGTTTATAAATTTAGAGGGGTTCGATTATAATTCAACCCTAAATTGTGGCAAAATGACCCATCTTTGATATTAGTTAACAATGGGGTTAATTACAAAAATGATCAACTAGTGGCAATACTTTTACACAAATGGTGTATTGTTTGTGTGGTTTATAGAAATGGTGTTGTAAATAGCATGTACAAATGGCAATTTATATTCAGTTTCTAAAGTCTCGTATTGATCACGATAATGCAGCAATTTTTTTTTCTCTCTTTATTTTCAACGATATAAAATTAGATCTAAAAGTGGATGGTATTGTATCAGGAGAATTTCTACATAAGAAATCGCCACTGTGTAGTGTGATTTCTGTAATGTCTAATTTTGGGCAAAAGTTGTCATTCCCATTGGATTGCAGCACTTCAACATTCTAAGGTTTGTTTTTCTTCACTCGAAGTTGTTTTTATCCGATGTTCATAGTTAAAATATATAAAAAAAATTGTCAATTTATTATACTCATGTGCTTGTCATATATTAGTATACTAATTTTAGTTTGTTAATTTCTACACTTTCAAATGTGGGACAAAATTCAAAAAATCGCAAGTATTTTTGATGACGTAAAAAATAAATCACCTAGTGTGTTGAAGCTAGGAGAGCAAAGTAGGTCACGTGCTCACGAGCTAGATAGTCCTGAGAACTTTAATTTACTCTAGGATCCTGCGAACAGAAAACACGTAATCTAAGCCGGGGGTTGATCCGGCGGAAACCCCTCCGACGCTCAAGTTAGACGTGAAGATAGTTGGTAATTGTAGAGAGAATTCGAAAAGAAGAATTGATTGAATAATGATAACGTACCTTTATTAAATGAATTTAAGTTGTATTTATACTTTATTGATTGGGCCGAGATCAATTTATCGGGCTTAACCTTCTTTGGGTGTGATTGGGCCTTCGTATAAATAGCTATTAAGTTGGGCATGTGGCCCAGTAACTATGGGTCTATTGGGCTGGGCCAATAGGCATATCAATTTTGTTTTGGTTATTTTTAATTATTAATTTTCTTGTATCTTTTATTCGAAAGTAAGAATATTTAGTTTTAAAAGTCAATGGTCAAATGAGTTGAATCTATGTAATAGATACCAATTTTATGGGAGGTATGCGTAATTTTCCAAACTATATGGGATCTAACTATTATTATACCTAATTTCAGTGGGGTTATGTATAATTTACCCTTTTATTTATATATATTTTTATACAAATAAACATAAAAATCTGTAACAGAGATTTGACGATTTGCAAAAGAGTTCCAGACTCTCTTTTGTGCTTTGCTCGATTCAACGGCGCCGGCGATGCTTACGACGGTCGATAGGCCATTGAATTGAGCTTCATTTTAACCTAATTCGATTTCTGGTGAAATTTAATATAGTTTCCTCATTTTGATCTTCGTGCTTGCTGTGGTTGAGCCCACCAAATCCACCGCCACCACCACTCTATTCTCCACCGTCTGCCTCCGCCCCCTAAAATTCAAATTCGAGCACCGCCGCCGCTTTACAATTGACCGCTGATCTACCTCCTCATCATCCATCACTTCAGCCGTCTGCGAAATCAATTCCTCCCCGAAATCTCTTTTCATTTCAAATTTTTAGCAGGCCGAATTGGGTAATTCTTCATGTTTTTTTTTTTCTATTTTTTTCTCATCATTATGATAAATTGTTATTTTGTATTTCAATTATGCTATCTTCAGTCGACTCTTTATGCTTACACTAAATATCAGAGTATGTTCTTTGTTTTGTTCTATTGTTTTTATGTTCCAATTTTAGGTTGGGACATTTTATTTTATTTTATGTTTGCTAAATTAGGAATCTCAATCAACGGCTGTTCTGTTTGATATCCATACAGCAGTTACCATCTGAATCGAATTCGAGGGAATGGCAAAAGTTAGAGACAGAACTGAAGATTTTAAGGATGCTGCGCGTAGAGCAGCATTGAATTTGGGATACAATGAGGTTCTTCTCCTACCTGTATTTTTTTGTTTTGTTTTTTTTTATTCATCATTGTATGTTGGTTAGTTCTTGATTTTCAATTCCTGAAGCATTTTTTAAGACCATTGAAATCCTTTTCCATTGATTGCAATTTTTTTTTTTTGTGTAGAGTTATTCTGTTTCTTGTTTTTGGTAATATTTTCTGAACATAGTGTCATTCACCCTGTGTGTTCTGATTGTCTTTCGCAGTCCAAAACCGCGGCAATAATGGCATCTTTTATCATGCATAAGAGTTGGGAAAGATCATCTTTTACCAAAGCTGCACTAACAACGGTATATTTACTTTGGGTAGCGAAAAAGCACCTTAAGATCAGCGATAGTAACGTTTTTATCACATACATTGCTTTTGGTTTGAGTGATTTTTTTGTGACTTTGATTCATCAGCTTGAAAGTATTGGAGCTTTAGAGCAGTTCCTCATGAAGCATAAGAAGGATTATGTAGACGCACACCGTACCACTGAACAAGAAAGAGATAGCATTGAGCATGAAGTAAGATCTCTTCTTCTTCTTCCCCTTGCTTTATTTTAAGAAAGACATTATCATTTATTTATCTAAATGTACTGATTTTCACCTTTAATCTCTGCTTACTAGAGAAGAATGCGTACATATGATTGTTTTATGCTTTCGATGGGGATATAAAGAGAGTAGTCGAGTGGGAGTTAAAAAGTTGTTATTTGTTTACCGTCTATTTCATTTACTTTCCCTCCCACCTAATGTATTAATCCTCATTTTATCAATGTTTATCAGGTTCCCTGTTCTACTTCATAACACTCGTATTATTATTCAAAGTACCCTATCCAGGAGTAAGAACATAGTTGAAAAGGTCTAATTGCAGTATGGTAGAACATATAAACTGTGATTTTTTTAATTTTATTTTTGTTTTAATTTCGCAAGGATAATGGTCCTGCTTCGGAATCTTAGATTTGGCAATCCAACAACTGTATGTTCTCCTTTACCATTATAAAGTGAATTTTAGTTGAAGAATATCAACTCCTGAAATTGCTATAGTGGAGGCCTGTTCTGTTAACCCGTATCACAGTTCGACTTATATAAGTGACGAAGTGTTAACTATTAAGTCATATAGCTACAGTTTTCTCTTACATTTCTTTGTCTAATATGTTAAATGTAACTCTATCTATTGAGCACCTTATGCGAGGAAATATTGCAATAAACTGATTAGAATATAATGGGGTAAAATATAGTGGCGATGTACTTTTGAAAGGATAGATCTAAGCTCATATATTATTGTTCTCTAGTTTTTATCTTCTTTCAAAATCTTCAATAGTATCGTGTCCAGCAGATATACCTCAATTGGATTCCATGCTGTGCCTTGTTCTGTTTCTTGTGAACTTTCTGTTTTTCGTAGTTGAAGTGTCATCTGCGACACGTCTCACTCTTCACCTTTCTCAGAATCCAACTCCCTACCCTTATTCTCTGAACCCATCTTGAACATATTAATTGCTACAAACGAGATAATAGAGTAGATTGGGAGCCCAAAAAACGTGTCCCCTATTGTTGGTGGCTCTAGTTTTAGGTGCTCTGTGTGATTTACTATGTCAAAGAGTTGTGCCTTTATGGTTTCTTAACTAAGTTGTTTGCTGCCAAATATATTGACAGACAGATTCATGGGTTTTAATATCATGTTTCCTTCTTGTTTCTTAATGACCCCTACATTATGCAGGTCACAGTCTTCATCAAAGCATGCAAAGAGCAAATAGACGTCCTAAAAAATAGCATAAATGACGAGGAAACAAATTCCAAGGGATGGCTTGGAATAAGGAGTGACAATTTGAATGCTGACACTATAGCACATAAACACGGAGTGGTATGACAAGACTTTTATATTTGTTTTGTTTTGCATCAACAAAAACAAATTGCTTAGCTTTATTTATTCGAAAAGTGAATCACTTTTCGCTCATATTGCAGGTCTTGATTTTAAGTGAGAAGCTTCATTCAGTGACATCACAATTTGATCAACTCAGAGCTTTGCGCTTTCAAGAGGCTATCAATCGGGTAACACCAAGAAGAAAACCAAAGCGGAGTGTCACAACTAATAATAATGCAGAGAGCACTAGTACTGGAAATATGGGGCCCACAGAAGCAAACAATTCGGAAGTCAGACAAACAGATGATGTTCAGGCAGAGCCAATCAGGATGCAGCAACAACTGTTAGATGATGAGACACGTACCCTTCAGGTAATTAATGATGCAATAAACAAGAGTTTGTGTGTATAAGTCTCTATATGTATAGGATTTTTGTATTAAGCGGTGGGGGGTCATGGCCCCCGATAGCTATATGTCGGCTCCGCCATTGTTACGTCATTCTAAAAACTTGTTTCTTCTTCTGTGCCGTGTTGGTGCAGGTAGAGTTGGCTAGCATGTTAGATGCTGTTCAAGAAACTGAAACAAAGATGGTGGAAATGTCTGCACTCAACCACCTCATGTCCACTCATGTTTTGCAACAAGCCCAGCAGATTGAGTTTTTGTATGAGCAGGTCAGCTCTATTTCTCGATTAATTCGATCTTTGCAAGCCAATTGAGATTAAAAAAAAACCAATGTCATTAGCATGTCATTATCGCTGCTTAATTAAGCTATTTTCTTTTACTTCAATAAGATATGTCTCGTCCAAGGAGATGAACTTGATTGTTTTTTGCTTACGGAATTAACAGGCAGTTGAAGCAACGAAGAATGTGGAGCTTGGTAATAAAGAGTTGTCTCAAGCGATCCAAAGGAATAGCAGTAGCAGAACTTTTCTTTTGCTTTTTCTGTTTGTCCTTACCTTTTCAATTCTCTTTCTTGATTGGTATAATTAAAACGGAAGATTGATTGTTACATGGTATACAAAATCTTTTTGGGTTATCTCAGTTTAATTTTAACCATAAAATCGGAAATTGCGATTTTTGTATACGAAACCAAGGAAATTTGATGGCTGAAGACATGGAACTTAAAAATATCATCTTTGCTTACACATATGTGTTGTTATTGCACTTTGAGAAAGAATACTATTGCGAACCATAAATGTTTGAAATTTCTGTATTAGGTCTCTTTTGCATCTTGGTTCTCTTTTACCGTTGATCTACACACACCAATGTAGGTGGGTATGTGTTTGTGTGTATATGAATGGTTCAGATCTCAAATTATTTTTGTCCGATCTGATCTATCTTGGTCATGGTTAAAAGATAACTATATAGTGTTCTATTTCAGATTGACATTAAAAGTTCATTTGAGTTTCCTTTGTTAACATAACGAAATAGTTTTAAACACAACGTGTTCGATAAATTATGACTCTCACTCGAGCTATAGTTTGATTAGAAAAATAAAAGTATAAAAAATCAAGTTATTCGAACTTGATTTGTTTTCTGCTTAATTTAAGTCGGTCGATTGATTATTTATCAAACCAAATTCAAACGTAATATTGAAAGCACGATAAAAATTTGAACATACTCGAATAAACATGTGATCGGCTTGACTCGAGTATTGTACACCTCCAAATCTTGGTTAAAAAACTAGATACTTATTGAGGACGGTGTGCTTTCAATATCATTTTCCCATAAACATAATACTAATAAACAATTACGTGGTAACAATGATTATAAATAATATAGATAACAATGATTGAGTAGTATTTTTCTTTGCTATGAGTTGTGACTTTTGACAAACGCATACCTTCTGCAAGACGTGACACATTAACTAATATTCTCAACTTCTAAGTAGGTTAGTAGACAGTAGATAAATAATAATGTTTTTTTCTAATTACACTAAATGTTTTCCAAATTAGTAATATCGAGCATATAATTGTATACAGTAGAACATCAATAAAATAATTTTATACTGTAAAACTTCAATAACCTCAGTTAAATAATAATTTATTATGGTCATAATTCGGTGAAAATATGTTAAATAATTAGTTCGATAGTTTAATATTTCGCTAAATTAATATTTTTTTTAATCACGATTAAATTAATTTATAGAGATTTCATTGTACTTAATTTTTAATTTTGTTTTCTTTTTTCACCACATATTAATTATAGGTCTAAATAGCTATGAGGCTAAAATTTACCATGCATTAGTTGGCATGTGAAATGTCTTCCTCCATTGTTGGTAAAATATCATCAAATCATTTTTCTCTTTTAATTATCTTTTGAACAAACATATCAACAAAACTTTGACTTACCAAATTATGAACTTCTATTTATGGGCATAGTGACCCTATGCTCGATTTACTATATATTACACCTGATGAATTTTTTCGAATTGTATCCAATTATATACGTCTATCTACCTTACGCACGTTTTCATTGTTTTATATCTACGCTAACACAATAATTGATATAACATGTTAAAGAATAAAGACCCTCCATTTTTTTGCAGTTAATTAGCAGGTTCTCATGCGAAGATCGAAACCACATCAAATCCGTCATTTATTTATGCAAAAATCCCTCAATTATCTACGGAGAACTTCCCCAATAGTAAACACAAAGTAACAAAGTGAAGTCCAACCCCCACTTATAGCGGTTGAAATTTGGACGATTTTTTGGACAGTTGATGTGGAGCGCATTCTTGCGATTCCGGTGGGTGGTCTGTCCACAAGCGATATCTGGATTTGGCATCATTCAAACAACGGGAAATTCTCAGTACGAACATGCTATCACATGGTGCTGACCAATGGAATGGTGACTCGACACAATCGCATGGCCAATGCTGACTCGACTAGTGGCGTGGCGAACCGTGATTGGAAGGTGTTATGGAATTTTCCTTTGCCGCCTAAGATACGAATGTTTTTATGGCGACTGGGAAAAAACTCTATCCCCACTAACGTTGAACTCTACAGAAGAAAGATCGGATTATCACCTAGGTGTGCGCGATGCCACAAGGAGGAGGAGGAGGATGCACTACACATATTGACTACATGTCAAGGTATGGAAACCATTTGGAGATCCCCTCCATTTGACAAAGTCTCTGGCCCGGTAATCACGTGTGCATGGCAGTGGATTATGAACTTAAGGGAACAATTGTGCGAGGAGTTTTTCATTTTGGCTATGGTGGTCGCTTGGCAAGCTTGGGACAGACGCAATAAGGAACTTAAAGGGGAGGAAATAATGGCGGTTGAGGCCCTGGTGGGCTGGTGCGGAAATTATGTGGCGAACTTCAAATGTGCTCAACTTCGTCCGAATCCAAGCTTACGTAGTGCCCACCCTACTGAATGGAAACCACCAGAAAGGGACTTCGTTAAACTGAACTTCGATGTTGCAACTAAATCTGCTCCTGCCGGAATTACAGTGGCAGCGGTTGCTAGAAATGCGGAGGGTCGCAGCTTGGGATGGAAGGTTTGTCATATTCAGGGCAATCTTTTGCCGGTGGAAGGAGAAGCTTTAGCGGCGTTGCATGCAATCAACTTAGCTCAGGATCGAAGTTGGCAAAGGATTAGTATCGAGGGAGATTGTCTTCAAGTTATTAATGCACTGAGAAATAGAAGTGGAGAGTCATTATCGTTCGGTGCTATAGTCGATGAATGCTGTAGTATCTCTAGGAATTTTTTACAGTGTGATTTTAGCTTTGTTAAGCGGTCGGGTAATAGCTTAGCCCACGCGCTCGCTCATGTTATTTGTACTGACTCGTTAGAGGGAATTGATCTCCCCCTCCATTTGGCATCTACTGCCTAATAAATATAAGTATTATTGCTGTCAAAAAAAAAAAATTTGGACGATTTTTTTGAATTTCCCCAATTACGATATGATTTTAGAATATTTTTTCTTATTTTGAATTTCGAAAAGTTTCATTTCTGATTTTTTTGAAAACGGAATTGAAGTACATATTAAATTCTGGATTGCAGTCCAATTTTAATTTCTAAAAGAATAAATTAGATTATTTTTTCTCCAAGAACCACACTTGCAATATCAATGTCATTATCTATTTTATAAGGGGACAACTATTTTGAATACTAAAATTTGCTTAGTTGAATACCAAAAGAATAGAAATTAAATAATTAATTGTAAATTACTTTAATACCCTTAATGAAAATTAAAACCAAAAAATATTACAAATACTATTTTTCTTTCTTAAAAACCAAATAATCAAAAACCTAAAAAAACATTTCCCTCCTCACTCCCAAACCCCTCACCTCCTCCACCTCCTTCTTCTCCCTCCCCAAAAACCCTCCTAAAAAACCCCAAAACAAAAGAAATCAAAACCTTACACAACTTGCAAAATGGCCTCAAATGACAATAGAATGGTAGTTTACGAGCAAGGAGAACCCATTCAGGTATGTATTTATGTATTTTTTGAGCTAAAACATCGATTTTGAATTTTTTTTTTTTTACAACTCGCCATGTATTTTCGACACATACAGGTCGAAAATACCCTTATTTTCGACATGTATGTGTCGAAAACACCCTTCGATTTCGACGCCTAAGTGTCGAATTATGATGCAATTTTCGACACTTAAGTGTCGAAAATACCCATATTTT